AGAGAACTAAATTGTCTTCTCACACATTCTGTGGTAAACGCACCCCCCACACACATGCACACATTCCCACATACAATAACAATTCTAATAATAATAGTAATAACAACAATAATAATTATAATAGAGTTGAAAAGGGTATTCCAGAAGTTTCCAAAAGCCTAGCAAACTTCTTAAAATACAAGATTCAGTAGTAGGTCAGGGCCAGCTGTGGCACAACCCTTTAATCCCAGCACTTGGGAGGCAGAGACAGACAAATCTCTTATGAGTTTGAGGCCAGCCTGGTCTACATCATAAATTCTCAGCCTGCCAAGGCTGAATAGCTAGTCCATGTCTCAAATAAACAAAAACAAGCAAAAAACAATGGCTATCTTACTACATAGCCAGCCACAACTGTGTCCCAAAAGTCAGTCTTCCAACAATAAAACCAGATGCATACATGTCATAAATCCTGTTTGTACAAAGCAATGTGACAGACTGGCACAACATGGTCCATTGGCCCAGGTATACACATTGAAACCGTCAATCATTAACAGAAAACAAATGCTAATGACCACAGTTCCAGGGGTTGACCAAGGGTCAGTCATAGTTCTAGATTTCCTTGAAGACAGAAAAGAAGTAACTTCCTCTGCTGCTTTAGCTTTTCTCACTAGATGACTAACCGTTTTTCCTCAGTAATTCTGTATCTACCTCGGTGATTTGAGACACCAGTCTTACCTGTAGGCACTCTCATTTCTCTCTATAATTTTTCTTTATGGTGTTTATCAGTATCCTGCAAAGCATAAATAAAAGATCTGTATTTTTCTTTTTTTTTGTCAATTGAAATTTTAGAGGCAGGAGTGGCAAGGCAGTTTATGCCTGTAATTCCGGCACTTGAGAAGCTGAGGTAAGAGGACCACTGTGGGTTCAATATTACATAGTGAGTTCCAGGTCTGCCTGGAACAGACAGGGGAAGACCATGCCTTAGAAAAACAAAACAGAGACTGGATATGGAGACATGCACCTTTGACCCCAGGATTCAAAGGCAGGTGGGTTTCTGAGTTTGAGGCTAGCCTGATCTACAGAGCCAGTTCTAGAATAGCCAGGGCTAGCAGAGAAATCCTGTCTCAAAAAAACAAAAACCAAACCAAACCAAACAAAACAAAACAAAAAACCAGGCTAGTGAGATGGCTCAGAAAATAAAGGCACTTGCTGCCAAGCTGATAACCTGAGTTCCATCCTGGGACCCACGTGGTGGAAGGAGAGGACCAGCTCCCATGTTGTCCTTCACTTTGTGCATTTGCACCTAATCACATACACACAGACAATAGAGAAAGGTCACAGAAATTGAAAGAAAGAAAAGCCTTCTTCCCCTCTTTGAATTATCTTGGCACCCTTGTCCACTTGATATATGAGGCAATTTTATGTTTTGTTAGTTTTTTGTTTTTGTTTTGTTTTTGAAGAAAGGATTTACTTTGGCTCATGGCTTCAAAAGATTTCTATAGTTTATGATGGAGCATCTCTGTGGGGTCAGGATTGTGTAAACTAACTCCTCATGTGCCAGTTGAACCAGGAAGCAGAGAGCTCAAACCAGGATCTGAAGCAGATATCTTTCAAACCTGCTTCCGGTACCAACCCACTTCTGCTAGCTAGGCCACACAACCCAAAGTTTCCATAACTCCCAAAACAGGGCGACCAGCTGAGGACCAGGTGTTCAAACACAAACTTGCAGAGGGACATTACATATTCAAACCACAAAGTTCTGCCTCCAGTCCCCATAGGTTCTTGGGTTATCTCATAATGAAAAATGTGTTTAGTCCAACTTTAGGAAGTCTCCAAATCTTTTAAAAAATACTTAGTTTTATTTTTTATGTGTAGGCATGTTTTGTTTGCAAATATGTATGTGTACTGTGTACATGCCTGGTGCCCAGGGAGGTCAGAAGAGGACATCAGATCCTCTGGAACTAGAGTTACAGATGGTTGTGAGCTGCCATGTCAGTGCTAGGAACCAAAGCAGGGTCCTCTGCAAGAGCAGCCAGTGCTCTTAACCACTGAGCCATCTCTCCAGTCCAAGACACCTCCACATCTTAATAGTCCCAATAGTGTTCAAAACTCCAAGGACAGTGGTTCACATCCTTCAGTGGATAAGGTCTTGAGACAGTCACTTTTTTCCCCTTTTGAGACAGGGTTGAAATGCTGCCCAGGTGGGCCTCAAATTCCTAGACTCCAACATTCTGCCTATCCCAGTCTCCCGAATGCTGCAGTTAAACATGTCACCACAGTTGGCATATGTGGCTATTCTTATCAAAGCTGTCTTCTAACTTTTCCTCATCTTTCAGAAATGTTTTTGGCTATTCTGGGTCACTTTTTCCGTGTTGGAGATGAGCCGTGGCTTCCCACAGGGCAGGTGAGCACTCTGCCTTTAAGCTATATCTTTGGCTCCAGTCATTTCCCTTTTTCATATTCATCCACTGCCTTTAACTGGGGTTTGTACCGTTCTTTTTTACTATCCCATATCCTTTCTGCTCCCCAGGGAGGGTGAGGCCTTCCATAGGGGGGTTTTCAGAGTCATATCCTTTGGGATAGGGCCTAGGCCCTCCCCTGTGTATCTAGACTGGGGGAGTATCCCTCTGTGTGGAATGGGCCCCCAAAGTCCATTCCTATGCTAGGGATAAGTACTGATCTACTACAGGAGGCCCCATAGATTTCTGAAGCCTCTTCACTGACACCCACATTCATGGGGTCTGGATCAGTCCCATGCTGGTTTCCCAGTGATTATTCTGGGGGCCAAGAACTCCCCCTTGTTCAGGTCAGCTGTTTCTGTAGGTTTCACTGGATGAGGGCTATCAGGTGGCATATAAGTTAGTCATCAATCTCATTATCAATTGAGAGTTATCAATCTCATTATCAGGGGAAGGCATTTAAGGTTAGCCTCTCCTCTGTTGCTTAGATTATTAGTTGGTGTCATCTTTGTAGATCTCCAGATCTTTCCCTACTACCTGATTTCTCTGTAAACCTAAAATGTCTCCCTCTATTATGGTATCTCCATTCTTGTTATCTTCTATTCTTCCCCTGACTCAACCTTTCTGCTCCCTCATGTCCTCCTCACCCCTCCTCTTCTCCCCTTCTCATTCTCCTAGCTCCCTCCCCCTTTCCCCATGCTCTCAATTTGCTCAGGAGACCTTGTCCCTTTCTCCTTCTCCAGGGGACTATGTATGTCTTGTACGGTTCTTATAAACTTCTATAATTTTTTAAACTATTATTATTTATTATGTTGGGGGCAAGCATGAGCCTTGGGCGCAAGTGGAAGTCGATTTTCTCTTTGCACAACGCGAATACTGGGTATTGAACTCAGGCAGCAAATGCCTTTACCAGCTGGTCTCACTAAGTACACTCAGCTTGGATGGGTGCCATTAGCCACGGAAGGAAAAACGTAATTAGTACTCAAAATGAAGTCACCATCATTCCTAATTCAACACCACATGGCATCTAGAGTTCAATTCCCGATGAATAAGCTGATGCGAGTAAAATACGGGAAGTGTAGCACTTCAGTCTTTTCGAAAAGTGCAAGGCAGGCCTCAGACCAGAAACATTGGGTGAGCTTCCTTTAAGGCGCGGCCCGCAAGCCCCGCCCCCACCTGAGCAGCTCCGCCTCACCTAGGCAGTCTCTAGGTAAACCACATTTCCCAGCGGCCCCTGCAGAGCGCCTGCGCACTGGGACGGGGGGTGCTCGTGTAGTGCTCGCGCGCTACCAG